CTGACGAAGCCCAGGAACCATCATCACGGCGGAGGGGGTGGGAAATGGATTGGAATTTAAGGATTTTTTTAGTTACATTCCAGAGGGAGTTATCACTTGCAGATAGTGAGGAAAGATAGGAATTATAGGATTGGGATCTAAACGTAGCCAGTTTTTGTTTTACCTGCTTGGAATAATAGTTATATGATTTCCGATCATCAGGATGCCTGGTTCTTTGCCAGATGGTCCTAGAGCATCGTTTTCTATTAATAAGGTCCAGTAGGTCTTGGGGTAGAGGATTTATTTTGCGGTATTTTTTAGAAGGATAAGGTGAAGATGCAGTCCAAACTGCTTGTTGGATCAAGGTAGTCATGGAATATACTGCTTCATCTAGGTCTGCGGGTGTTTTTAAGGAAACTCTGAGGTCAATATTATCATCCAATATTTGACGGAAGAGGTTCCAATTAACTGGCCCCCTGATAAATGAAGGTGGAGGTGGTTTGGGAATTGGTGATGTGGAGACCGTTAGGATTAGGGGACTATGGTCTGAGGAAAGATCATCAAGTCTTGAGATGCAATAATGAAGGGACCCTAGACCTTTGTGGATGAAAAAATCTAGGAGATCGGGATTGCGGTTAGGATCTGTTGGCCAGTATGTGGGAGAATTGGGTGAGAGGATGTTGCTGTGATGGGAATTAAGTGCAGATAGCAATGTTCGTCCTCGGGAATTTGTGGTTCTGGCTCCCCATTGCTGGTGTTTAGCATTTAAGTCTGCACCTAGAAGGAAGTGGTGTCCTAAGGAGTTAAGGAAGGAAGTTAATTGGGATTCTGAGATGGGTATTTTAGGCGGGGAGTATGCTGCGACTACTGCTATTGGGTAAAGGGAAGTTTGGATTATCACGGCAGTGGATTGTAGGAAATTATGGGTTAGCAAAGGGAATAGATGATGGGAAAGGGATTGATGGATAATTATGGCAGTGCCAGCATGTGCTGTTCCATCAGGATGGTCGGTTCGATAGATATGATAGTTGGGGATGTTAAGTGGTCGTTTGTTGGTAAGTCGAGTTTCAGTTATTAATGCTATATCAATGTTTTTGTCCTGTAATAAGATTGTTAGTTCGTTGACGTGATTTCGAATACCATTCGCATTCCAAAGGAGAACGGAGAGGGATTTGATTGGGGGCATTTAAGGATTTCTCGACAGTGGGATGAGGTTGGATACAACATTGGTAAGCAAGGAAATGAGAGGAGTGATGAGTGACCTGAATTCAGAGAGGAAAGAAGTCAATAGGCTTGTGAGGTCAGTGGCATTGGGAGGAGGAGGAATGAATGTCTGGTTATTAGGCCTAGGTTCAGAGATGGGATAAGGGTCTTGTGGTTGAGATGTGAATACTCGAGGTTGAGGTTCTTGTGGCAGGGCCTGAGTTTGTGTGGGTGCAGTGTCTCCTTTGAACATCTGAGCATAGGACACTCTTGTATTTACAGTTCTAGAGGGTTGTCTTGGTGGCCTGGATGGCCGTTCTTCTCTTGGAGCTGCATAAATTCTTGCTTTCAGTTCCTTATATGTTTGGCAACCCTTGTAGTTCGCTGGGTGCCCTTGGTGGCATAAAGCGCATACTGCTGGTGTTCTTCTGGACTTCTGGCAGTCCTCAGTTTTATGTTGATCACCGCACCTGACACATCTAGGAATGTGGTGGCAATAGCGTTTCGTATGACCATAAGCCTGGCAGTTATGGCATTGTACAATGTCGCGCTTAGTGTAGGGCTTTTCTACAACAACGCTAGTGTAATAAAGGCGTGTGACCTTGTAGATTTCTTCGACCTGGGGCGTTCGGTCAAGGTCAACGAAGAATAGTGGGAGCGGTATTTTATTTTTTGTACCAGGCTGTTCTCTATCTTCCTTGAATATATTCACTATTTGTCGAACACGGAACCCCATCTCAGTTAGTTCTTCTTTAATGGCATCCAGCGGTGTTGATGGGTGTAATCTCCTGATCACCACCCTGAGCGCTCTCTCTTGGCGCAGTTGATATGTGTGATAATCCGCCTTAGTGTCAGATAAATACTTGACAATTTTTCTGTACGTATCTGGGGTGTCAGGCATTAATTTCGTGTCATTAGTGCGGCTTTGGCATACGTATTTACCTGAGCCCACTGTATTATTTAATTGTTGACACATTAATTGGAAATTTTTTATATTTCTAACGAATATTGGTGGAGGTTTAGGTTCACTAGGGATGGATACTGCTTCCATTTGTTCATTCTGTGTGTTTGACAGCACTTGGAATGGATTAGCTGTAAAAAAAGGCGATTCTTCTAGCGTACCTTGTATTGGTATAGCTTGTGTTGACATATTTTGTGATGTGCCAGGTTGATTTTCAACTTCGTCAACTGAGCTCTCTGGTGTAGCTGGCGGGGTATTTTTTTTAGAGCGTCTAGCCCTTTTCTTGATGGGTGAACTCTTTGTGGTATCGAGACTCCTAGATCTTAAAGTTCGATTGTTACCTTTGCTCGACATTACCATATGAAAATAGCGCATCTCATATTAATTTAATTAGAGGTAACTGTAATAATTTGGAAAAAAAAAAATGTCCTTTATCAATTACGTATATATTACGCGAGTTTGTGGAAGTCTAAGTAACGTAGATCTGCTTCCGCCAAAGGGCAGCAGCCCACTGGTCGGATTAACGAATGTATATGGCCGGCTTGTTATCTATCACTATCCTCAGGTCTATTTACATTGTTCACAATGCCGTTATAAATAAGTGATTACTCACCTTGTTTATGTCCAGTTTCAACTTAATTGTTAACTTAACAGTTTACACTACTTTTTCACATATAACATGAATTATTTCACTGTTAATAAAGTCACTTAATAAGAGACGAAATAAAGAGTATATGTGTAAGGTTAACGCATGCGCAGAACTGATTAAAGTATTAGCAATCATTTAAAAAAATCTTGTTGGGGGAAGAGCACGAAAGTTCTCATAATCGTGGATCCGGAAGTGGTTGGAATTGACCAGTTATCAGAATATCTATATCGTCAAAAAAAAAGAAGTGATTAATAGTTTTGGTTGGTAGTATATTAAGCAATTCGTGGTATTGCTAGACAGATATGAAACTTTTAAAGTTCTGTATCTCTCACTGCCAAAGTTAATGCTGAGAAACCGTTGTCTGTTGCTTTTTAACTAAATCTCTCCAAGTTAACAGTTAGTTAGAGCGCTACTTGCTCCATCCCGTGAGAGCCAAAGGCAAAGTTTAAGTTTAAGAGGACGAGGTGGCGGTGCAGTGGAAGTTGGTCGAAATTAACACCTGAGCTCTGGAGTCTCCCCTGGGAAGACACGGGTCTCCATCCAGGATAATTAAATTATGCCTCTTCTAAACAGGCATTAGTCCCAGCTGCTGAGTTCTGGCTCAAAAAGTTGCGCTGCGGTTCTGGCACTACTAGACGGATGTGACTACGCTCCGAACAGTACGAACATCTTGCTGACAGAAGAAGAAGGAAGAAGGAAGTAATCGATAATTTGACACTTTCGGATATTTCCAAATAAGGTAGCAAAAAAAAAAAAGATTATTGTATTAATGGTGAAGTTTAATATAATCATTCACTGACGAGAGAAAAAAAAATGTATAGGCTTACAAAAAAAAAAAAAAAAAAAAATATATAACAATAGTATAAAATGTATTAAATACATTTTATTTATTTAACTTTATTGTACTTTTTGAGCAATATATTATTTTATAGTAACATTGCTAGTGGGCTAGCTTATCCAGTTTAATCCACAATAGAATATTCGCTAATTGTTGTCCAGTATAGGTGTTTCATAAGACTTGGAATGTTTTTTTAACATAATTTTTCAATGTTTTTTTTTTACATAATTTTTCAATGTTTTTTTAGAATGATTTTGTTTTATTTAAAACATTTTAATATCATTATATTTTTTAGTTTCTTATCAGTTGTTTGATATAACCTTTGTCTAATGCGTTCATGCATCGTCTCGTTCTTATCAGTATGGCTTGTTTCTCGTTTAGAAGGCTTATTGAGATCATCTTTTTCTTACTTTTTTTTTCTTTATCCATATATGTGATCTTGTTTTTTCTGTCCTAATTAGAGTTGACCAAGACCAAGACTGGTAAAAACAATAGATTTTTTGAATAAAAATTAAGGCAAAATAGTTACTAATACTTGACAATTTTAGTTACTATATGTAAAGAATTGGTATAACCAATATACTTTTGCATTAAACTCTTCTAATTTTTCATTCGGGATTAGTTAGGTTTCTCCTATCTTGAAAAAATACAGTAATATCTCTATAGTAATAAGCTAATTGGTAACTGCAAGACTGTGGCGAGACTCTTGCGCAAGACGAGTCTTGGCAACACTAGTCTTGATAATGCCAGAATTGACGAAACTTTGGTAGGATGACTGTTCATCTATATGTTAGAGACTTATACTTAGAGGCTTTGTGGTTTAGAGTTTTCCACCACCTAATTACTTTATATCTTTTTTTTTTGAGCTAAAAGAGGCATATTCATTACTTGATTTCATTACCAAGTTTTTATTACCATCTATTATATTTTATTAATTTTTTGTTTAATTGACTATATTTATTTCTCTTATAAATTTCAGCATTATATGAATGAACATTTGTAGCCCTAATATTTGTCGCCCAATAATGTGGAAGATTGTATTTTTATTCAATAAACCTATGAAAAAAATAAAAATGAATTGTTAGAGAGAATAAAAAGTTGCTATTCCACTGATCTATGGAAAATCACTCAAGAAATTTATTGTCACATGATTTTTTGGAGTGAGGCCATATGAATTCAGGACAGTGTTTCAATTTTTATTTACTACGTAGGTATTACAATCTATACATATTTCCAGTTTTTTTTCAATTGTGATACAATTAAATTTACTCTTATTTTTGTTTTGTTCTATGCTCCTCTTTTTCCAGATCGTACAATGAAAAATTAAAAGAATAACAATAACACAGTGTTGACATGATATTACGTTGTAAATGGACCATTCAAAGTCATCGATACAAAAAGGAGTTGAAAGAGACGTAAACAGCAAAAGATGGCTGTGCTACAGATCGTGTGACATGCTCCACACAGCATCTGTTATTAGGAGCATGCATATGGATGAGGATGGACTGATGGGTTCTCCACAGCACCGCCTAGGGAGCGCTAAAGTAGAATTGACTCTGGCGGAACTGAAGCAATTTTCACGCTTTGGATTTCCTTGTTCGATTTATGACGACTTCCGGTATTTATAGGTGCAGGAATATGGATATGAGATTTATGTATCATAAAACTTTACTTGTGCTACCCATCCATAAAGGATTCGAACAAAAAGAACAAACGTATTATTTTATTTATTTATTGAGATTTACAACAGTATTAAATAAAATTCTTCGCATTGCGGGATCAACGGCGATGAACAAGCCGATCAAGCAGCCAGAAATAACACCCGTGGAATTAATTAATGAAATCCTTCTAGAGGACTATGTTAAAAAAAAATATGGAGAATGTGTAGAAAATGTGGCAAAACACAAATAATTCAAAATTAAAGGAAATTAAAACCATGTTTAAAATGGAAAAGCTCTCACCGATCCTCTAGGAAAGAAAAAACAGCCCTCTGCAGATTAAGAATTAATTGGACATTGTGAGTTCTCGCACACCAACATACTAAGAGGACTTGATCCTCCGACCTGCGAGAACTGCAAGACAAGACTGCTCCATTTTGAACTGTAGAAAAAAATGGACATGGCCCAAAGCTTAAAAGAATATTTACAAGACAGCCTTTTGTTGTTGAAAAAACATTGTGAAATTCTATAACAGAGTTTAACTTGAAGAGGCAAAAAAAAAAAAAATAAATAGAATTCAACCAATAAATGTTAACAGAACAAGTATGGCTACATTAACATTAACCGACTTGTTGAGAGAATACCCAATCGTAGCAAACCATAAATAGTTACATGTAAGAAGGTCCCGAAGCCATCTTTCTTTTCCTATACCTAGGAAAACAAAAAGGAATTGAGGAAGAAGTAAGATTAGAAGCAAGAAGATTTGGAAGGGAGTAGAGTTTATCATGAAAGATTAGGGTCTGACAAATCAGCGACATATGGAATATTAAGGTCTTCATGAATTATATTTTTTGTGACAAAATATGAGGCATTAACGATTTTACGAATTATTTAAGATTGTAAGGGTTAGATGCGAGATAAATTCGGTGGTTTAGTGGAGCCTCAAAGCTCAAATGCGTATGTCCATATAGACCTTATCATGTAGTCATGTAGTCATGTAGATGAGCCTTTATAAATAATTGAAAGTTTAGAACGCATATAAACAAACTTACATAATCATAAATGTTATGACCATAGATCTTAGAAGAATCGACTAATCGTTCATATATGACACCTTTTTAATATGAATCATTATGCAAACCCATGCCAGTATTTTCTCTACAACAAATACCAATACAATTAATTTAAAATAAATCCATTATCCAAAATTTTTGGCAAACTAGACAAAATGCAGTTGATGCAGACAGACCAACACAAAGCTGCAACATGGAGACTGCACCGCCGTAGGCCGAGCACAGATTTACTTCCCGTCCCTGCTTTGAATTGCATGAAATAACTTCTTCTCCTCCCTCCTCCCAAGGCAAAAAAGGGAAAAGCGGAAAAGGGATTTCCATTTATTTAGGTACTTTCGCCAACTCTTTTTTCTTTTTTTTCTTCCTCTTTTTTCTTTGTATTTATTCTGAAACGCAAACGACTCTTCCCATTACCATTGGCTCTTTCGGATAAATAATGCGTTAAGTAGTTCAAACCCTCCTCGTCTTCTTATGCTTAACGTTCGTTGATACTTTTGCATATTCTGGGTATCGGTTATGTTACTAGTGTATAATAAATGCTGTATTTGTATTTTCAATGCATAAACAGTGAACAAAACTATCGATAGTACAAATCCTTAACGTAAAATGGATTTTATTGCGACTAAAATAAAAAATCAGATAATTTTTTTAAAAAGAAATTATATGATTTTAGAAGATGTCACTGTTTAATTTAAAGCTGTTTCCAGACAAGTATTTTGAAAATATAATAATATATCGAGATGAAGTATATTAAGAAGAAAAGAAATAGAGAGTTCGTATAATCTGTGTTCAATTCAATAGTGTTATATATAAGGATATCGAAAATATATAAAAACAGCAAATATATTTTTTTAAATATACACCAAAATTATGGATATAGAATAGAAATACTTTAATTGAGTAAAAAAAAAATCAGATTACACGATGAAAGTGTAAATTTCAACCTTAAAAAAATTCTCGAGTTTTGAAAAGTTGTCGATCTTTTATTTTTGCATGCTGAAAGATATCAATAAAATAACAAATAATACGAATTACACACATTTTTTGTTAACTTTAAATTATAAATCATTATTATTTTTTACTTATCCTTTTTAGTCATTAGGTTGTATTATTACAATGAAACATTTTTTAATTTGGTTTATTACGTAAATAGTATATTTGGCAATTTATACGTTATTATGTTATCTATAAAGACCACATATTCCATTGTTTGCAGATTTGGCCAGAGCTAGATATTCCTCTTTTAATTCTATACTCCGTAGTCACCCTAACTCTCCAGTTCATAACATCCAAAACAACCCTGACAATCCTTCGAGACTTCTGAGAAGAAGGTGGCCTCAGGACATCAAAATTAGTTCAACTAATGAGTAGTTACTTAAATGCCGCTATTAATTTTTATATATTTTTATACCGGATTCACTAAATTCCAATCCACTTACTCAAGCTCTATCTACTGCCACAAATCCATATAATCCGCCCAGAAAACTGCTGAGGCGCTGGCCAAGAGACTTATTGCATTGAGCTATTTGTTGTATTGTCTTTTTTTGTGTGTGTTATTATGTTATCTTATTTTCATTTAACTACTGTTTGTTTGTTTTGGACTTTTTGTTTTGTTATTACTATTTTTTTTTTTATTATCATTTATTCTCCTTGATATCATATTTGTTGAATAACGAAATAGATGTCAAATTTATTGTGAGCCAGGAATATGGGTAACTAATAAATAAATAAAAAATGTATACACTTGTAAATTTCATTAATTGCAACAAAAAAAGTTTATTATATCTGTACCCCGAAGGTAAACAACAAATTGTCCATGTTTTTATTTGTTCAGAGGTGACAATATTCTATGAGCTATTATAATTTGTCTCTTAGGTACTAAATCTGTACTCGAGAGGTAAAGTACACCTTATCACATTTTTGAGTTCGTTCAGTGAGCCCATTATCCATAACTTTGGATTATTATAATTTGTAAATTACTTAAAAAACAAAATGGACATTGTTTCCTGTACTTTCGGGGCACAGTTATTGACAGGATCCAATAGAATGTATTTAATAGATCGATTAAAGAGATTTTTTTGTGGATTGATCTAGCTTATTATACTCACTTACACTTCTTATCTGTTTATTAAAGAATAGTTGTTTATTATACTATAGTATTATCGTCGTTTTCTGATGGATGGAACTACGAAAATCCACAGTGTTATGTTCTTGCCTTAGATGATCTGAACGGTTTGAATTGATTGTAGTATACCAACTAATCCCTCAGTACGATTAATTCTATTCTCATTGAACTAAGAGTTCAAAGCTATTACCAAATCATAACATGCTAATAAACACTAAGCAGTGAATAGGAAAACCACCATTAGGAGCAAAAAAATTGTTTAACTCAATGAATACATTTACGACTGAATCACCAAATAAACCCAAAACGCCCTCGCAATCTTTTAAGCGTGTAATGGCGTTTGAGAAACTACCTCATAAAGTAACGAATAAACGGCCTCGTTCAATCAGTAAAAGTAGAGAGAGAGCCGATACAGTAAATCTGATTGGGGGAGGAGTAGGAAAAAAAAAAGGGAAAATAAATAAAACTATCGATCTGCATAGGGCCAACATACCGGATGCAAATCCCAGGAACCCTTTGCACAATTAGCTAATCCGGGGAAACGCCATTTCTGTATAGGGAAGGGCGGAGGAAACACCAATTTCCAATAGTGCATTTTCGTAAGGGCGTTTCGGTTTAGCATAAGGCTGTAGCTCAATGTCAACTCTAACGACGTCTGATGCAAAAGCGATAACTGCATTTCCATCGACATCTGCTGCCGTAGTTGAGCTGACTTCTACCCGGTTAGTTATAGCGGCGAATACCATTTGGATAACTGGAAATCTTGGTAAGGAGCAGTCATATGTATAGTATAGTGCTTCATTAATGGGTATTATCTTACTTCTATAATGAGCATTTTGAGATCTCAATTATTCCCATTCCATAAACTTGAGGTGGGTGGCAAACAGTTATGCTCTCGCCAATTTTGTTCTCATTCTAAATGTTTACAAATTGTTTATATGATTCTGATACTATACTGCATCAATGGTTGTAAAATTACACTTTTAATGAATGCAATTTTTTCGTATAAAACGAAGAAAATATTCATATGAAATGAAAGTGAAATGAAAAATTAATTTTATTCTGAGACTAAAGTTCCCTTAGAATAATAACAGAGTTCAGAAAATGCATGCTGCAGTCTACCATGTGGATATGATACAGATATACAAAAAATACTAAGATAAGATACAGATGTATAGAAAAAGTACAGAGAGAAAAAGAAATATTAAAAATAAAAAGACTCTTCATTATCTATTGGTGAGAAATTGAATTTAATAGCCTAAAAATACATATAAGATGGCGAAAATTTGAATGTGTAGTAGGTGGTGGAATAGGAGTTGTTTGGAGGAATTTTTGGATGTAAATTGGCGCATAGAGATAGGTAAGGAGTTCCAAAAGGAGGTAGCACAAATGACGAAGGATTTGCTGAAAGAAATATAAAGGTCTATAGGTTGAGATCTGGTATTAAGTGAGTGGATAAAGGAGCGTGGATTAAGCAATTCTAGGATGGAGCGAGGATTTTTGGTTATGATGACTTGGAAAAGGAAAACAAGAAGTCGGGATTTAATAGCTATTCGTTTAGAAAAAAAAAAAAACAGCCAATCAATCTGTTACGAATGCTAATTCCAAAAGAAATATTCCGTTTTACCGCTCCTTGTTAACCCACTAAATGCAACCATATGATAAATTGATTACATAAATAAATAATAAACCATTAGAAACTCAACACTGCATCATAAATTTGATGTAGATAGAATTCATTGTCTAATTTTAAATATAAGTATGCGCACATGAAAAACAAGTTGCTAAGTAAATAGTTATGCTTAGTTTTATACTAAATATACCTGGATTGATTCAATTACCATGGTTTGTTAAGGAAGGAGGTCTC